GCGGCATGTGCGATCTTCCCGGACCGGGGCACGAACCCGTGTCCCCTGCAGGGGGACTCTCAACCACTGCGCCACCAGGGAAGCCCTGGTTGCTGACTTTTAATAAGTAGCTTCCACTGATGAGAAAGGAAGCAGCTACTGGCAAAAAGTATAATAACGTTAAAGAATTAGGTCTCTATATATTTATCAAACACTCATATATATATTCCACAACTACGTAAAAAGTGAATAAGAGCTGGGAATTCCCTCCCCATCTGGTGGTTAGTACTCCGCGCTTCCACTGCAGGGAGCACGGGTTTGATCCCTTTGGTCAGGGAACTAAGATCCCACAAGCCGTGCAGTGTGGCCAAAAAAAAATTAAAATTAAAAAAAAGAGTGAATAAGAGCTATAAAAGTAAACAATTAACATTTTTTTTCTTTTTGGCTGTACCATGCAGCATGTGGGATCTTAGTTCCCTGACTAGGATTGAACCTGGGCCACAGCAGTGAAAAAGTCCTAACCACTGGACCGCCAGGGAATTCCCCAAAAGTAAACAATTTAAATGTTAGTTATTACAGTTTAAATAATTCAGAAGGACACAGAAATCCATCTACTACTGCTCATCTCCACATCATAAATAAAATAAGGAGAAAATACTGCTAAAATGGGTTGCACAAATTTTTACTAATCTTACCAGTCACTCATTAAAATGTGTTGCAGGGTTTCATCATTTGACCAAGGGTTTGTCTTTCCAGCCATTTTTCTGTCAGCTCCAATACGAGGGAACAATGGCAGCCAAGACAAGGCAGGGTGGAGCCAGTAGATAAGACTCTGCTGGAAGGCACAACGGAGCTCAGTGGAGAGTCTGGGATCCTAAAATACAAAGATGATATTGGACAGTTCTTGCCCCAGTAGAAATACAGAATTTAATTAAAAAGACACTGACTATACCAAACATTTATTCTCAGGATCTTTACTGCTTCCTGTAAGAAAGTGTTAATAACTGTTACAGGGGCTAAAATGTAGTTTATTATTGTTTGGGAAAACCTTCCTTGCCAGCCATTACAGTCTGTTAAACCACATACCAGAAGGGATGCTTAGACGCAGATGGGAACATTCGCCTGTCTCTACCATCCTCGAGAACAGGGACTATCACGCTTTATCACCAGGGCGGGTGGTGGTGGTGGTGGTGGTGGTGGTGGTGGTGGTGGTGGTGGTGGTGGTGGTGGTGGTGGTGGTGGTGGTGGTGGTGGTGGTGGTGGTGGTGGTGGTGGTGGTATGGGGGGGGGGTGGCGGCAGCGGTGGTGGGTGGGTGGGTGGGTGGATGGGTGTGTGTGTGTGTGCGCGTGCATGTGCGTGTGTGTGTAACACTACATTCAAGCCCCTCCCCTCATAGCACTGATTCAAAAGTAGCCAATAAAAACCGATAATCCCAATCACAAATCATATGGATCTATTTATCAAAAAAGATGTACCAAGGCCTCTTTCAGGTAATCGCTTTTAACCTAGTTTGAGTTGATGAGCTGCTTGAAAGTAATGCAATTACATTTCTCTAAAACCTTTCTAGCACTCATTAACTCTTATAAATTTACAACAGACCATCACCCAGGTGGTAAGAATTAGTGCATTTTAAAAATACAGTATACATTATGTGAGAAACCCAGTAAAATAACCAATCTGTCTTTGCAATCCTACTCCTCAATTGCTTTTCATTTCCTTATATTTTCTTTCTCAAAAGGCCTTAGAAAAGGATAGTGTAGTTCAAACAATTGCTGCCTGCAGCAGTGACTAATTCTCAGGACAGGTCTATAAATTTAACAGGCAGTTTACTAAATCTGATTTAAAAAACAGTATGAAAGCAGCATTTGGAAAACAAAAAATTTCCCAAGTCTCTGTGTCTTTAAATGTCAAAAGAAAAACTTAATGGAAGGAAATATCTCTGATATTTGTACAGAGAAGTATGTACAAATGTACAGAGAAGTACATTTTACACTTAATTTGTTACTTTTAAGCATAGCTATTTTCTTACAGGATTACCTGTATACTTTGAGGCAAAGTAACTTCTGTTGCCCTACAATGCTGGATGACACCTTGAGCCTCTTCCTGTGCTTTCAAATGATCTGTCCAGGTAAAGGGTTGAGAAGAGGCGAAAAGGAGTCGAGTTTTAATACTCCAGTCCACAGGTAACTCAGTACTTTCTGAGGATGGAATATCAGATTCGGAGAATGATACATGAGGAGTCTTTCAGAAGACAAAGAACACAAAAATTAGTAGAGTACCAAGGAAAAAACCCTTCAATCTACAGAATTCATCAACTAACATACTCATGACCACTGAAATTTCAAAATGTTATGAACGGTACAATAAATAACACTGAACATATACTACACACGGTGAAAGAGTCTGCAAAGAGCCACACTAAACCGTTAACAGTGATGTTATCTCTGGAAAGTGGGAATTTCTTGTTGAGGCTGGTGGAAGGGCAGGTTTCACTTTTTAGTTTATTATAGTTCTATAGTTTAGTTACAAGAGATGTACTATTTTCATGATCATGATTTAAAAACATCTACTATTGATACTGCTATCAAAGCAGAAATCTTCCAAGTATTTTTTAAAAAGCACTTTTTAAGCCTCTAAAACTCTGGAACCAGGTCTACGTTGCTCTTGCAGGTAACTTAGGTTGGGTTCTTAGAGGCCATGTTTAAGAAGCATTTGCCGACCTCAAAAATTCCTCCCAAACTGTTTTGCTGTCAAGTCAGTATTCTCCACGTTACAATAATTCTTCTAGATGACATTATTAAAAAATAACGGGGAAGAGGGAACTATTTCCAAGAGACCCGAAGGCCATTTATTTGCAAGGAAGGGAGACTGAGTCTTGGGAACTCTTCTAGCCTGCTCCCATTAGGACAATCTATGCATTTGTTAAACTATCACGAAAGAAGCAGCTGAGGAATGGAATCAAGAAGCGTTTCTGTGTGTATGGTGGTGGTAGGGAGGTTCAGTGATATACCACAACCTGTGGAACTAATTTGGGGATTTGGTTTGAAGATGCAGTGAAGGATTAAGTTCAAAAAGCAGCTAAGCCTGGAGGCACTGGCTCTGAGTGATGAGCTGGAGTTGTCACTACCTATACAAGACTGTGAAAACTGTTGGGGGCAGAAAGAAAACCCACATCTACGCCTGCTTTGGCACTGGTGCCATTATAAACATTACCACAACATAAAAGTCCTTTACCAAGGCTGATGCCTGCCATCTTTTCAACCCTGGTAGAGATGATCACTTGGGGCTCTCTGTGGAACTATTTTCCAAGTAAAACACTTCTGAGAAGTATACACTTATGTTATAAGAATATACACTCTAATGACATTTAAAAAGTTATTACCTGGGGTAATTCAGTAATGGCTGTTCTTTCAGGAATCTTCTCTTCCCAGAGCAAATCATTTTCTTGATTAGAATCTAAAAACTGAGGTTAAAAAATGGTTCTTTTAAATTATAAATGATGCTGGAGTTCGCTTTAAACATGTAGACCTTCACCTGGCATACAAGTTTCTCAGCAAGTGCAGGAATTCACGTGAGCGCAAATCAGTATAACAGAGGATTTCACTTGTTTTGTGCCTGAACTTTACTATCAAAATGGACCGAGAAAAGGGCAGGTGATTTGCGCAACTAAGAACTCTGTAATCAATAATCTCCGTTCAAAAGATCCGAAAGGTTGTGGGGTAAGACAAATATTAGTAAATTCTGACCCCATCAATACTCAACATTCCCCCAACCCCAGAATAATCTTGAGCGCGTGAGAAGGCAGGCACTGAATCACGCAGGAAAGAGGGTCCTGTAACCTTCCCATCAAACGGTGGCCTTCCAGGAGTAGTGCCAGGATTACTCGGAGCTCTCTTCCCACTGATCTCCAACCCCCCACCAGACGGCTGCAGCCCAAACTCCCCCGCCGCGCGCCGGGCGGGGCGGCGGGGTCCACTCCTCAGGACGGGAAGGCCCCGCAAGTCCCGCGGCAGCTTGCGAAGCGCACTTCACGCCGCCCCGATCTCGCAAGGCAGCCACCCCCAGGGCTCGGGGCCTCCTGAGGCCGCGAGCGGCTTCGGCTTCGCGCCCATTTCGCTCCTGGAACGCGAGAACCCGCCATCCCTACTCCACAGCCGAGTCGACCCACGAACTACAAGAGCCCCTCGGCTCCCAAGCACGAAGACACTCACCGGGCCCGGCGCCTCCTGCTGGCCGCGGGACGGCACGTTGGGAAGCTCGGCGGCGGCCCGCGGCCGGTTGTCCAGGCGGGCGAAGGGGTTCCTTCGGGACGCGGCTGGGCCGCCGCCGCCTCTGCCCGCTGCCGGGAAAGGGCGGAGGGGCAGCCCGGCCGTCAGGGCGGCGCGGCGAGTCGCCGGCTCGGGCCGCTTCTCGGTCGAGGAGGCGGCCCCAAGGCTCCGGCCCCTTTTCCGTCGGAGCCGCAATTTCTCTGGCGGCCTTTTGAAACTGGGCGAGTAGCCGGGAACCGACAGTGCCATCACGCGCCTCGGAAGCCGGGGACCCGTTCCGCAGCAACCGCAGGCGCTTCCCGCGCGCCACGGCCCCGCCCCGACGTAGTCCCGCCCCCGCGGCGTCTCTCGGCGCATGTGCCGTACGGCGCCCGCGAGGCCCCGCCCTCAGCTGTTTTCCTCTGAGGCCGAGGGCACGGCGGGGTGCTGCGCCTCGCCGGACGCTGCGTTGGCGGTCTGGTTGGGTCCTTGGCTGTAGTCGGGTCGCCGGGTGCTAGGTGGCTGGGAAGCACGCGGTCCTGCTCACCGAAATAGATGAGCGCTGTTCAAATCCGCAGTAGGGTGTGATGAGCCCCAGGCACGGCGCCAGGATGAAAACGAAACGTCACACTTGAGCTGCCCCTTCGATAAGCTTCCAGAGCGCAGCGGCGACTTCCAGAGCTGGAGAGGGAGGCCTGGGCCTCCTTCCCCTCCCCCCGAAACAGAGAGCCCCAACAGGAAATCAGCACGCCGGCGACGCAAGCGCAGTCTCCCGCCCCGCTTCCCGAGCATCGGCACTGCAGCCTTTCACGCAAACACTGCAGTGGTCACGGACGAGTTACCGTGATGCTCCCGTTCGATCCTGAGGAAACCCTGGAGTGAATGAATATTTGAAAAAAAAATTTAGCTTTCAATGGGCTAGATCCTTTGAGACTTGAAAATATATTCAAAGTATTAAATTACGACAGCAAAGGATGTTAAAGAAGGAAGGGGTTGAGAAAGGAGTTGATACAAAAGTAATATTATTTTGACATAGCAAGACTCCCAACAGCTTTATCACCCCCGCCGCGCGCCGGGCGGGGCGGCGGGGTCCACTCCTCAGGACGGGAAGGCCCCGCAAGTCCCGCGGCAGCTTGCGAAGCGCACTTCACGCCGCCCCGATCTCGCAAGGCAGCCACCCCCAGGGCTCGGGGCCTCCTGAGGCCGCGAGCGGCTTCGGCTTCGCGCCCATTTCGCTCCTGGAACGCGAGAACCCGCCATCCCTACTCCACAGCCGAGTCGACCCACGAACTACAAGAGCCCCTCGGCTCCCAAGCACGAAGACACTCACCGGGCCCGGCGCCTCCTGCTGGCCGCGGGACGGCACGTTGGGAAGCTCGGCGGCGGCCCGCGGCCGGTTGTCCAGGCGGGCGAAGGGGTTCCTTCGGGACGCGGCTGGGCCGCCGCCGCCTCTGCCCGCTGCCGGGAAAGGGCGGAGGGGCAGCCCGGCCGTCAGGGCGGCGCGGCGAGTCGCCGGCTCGGGCCGCTTCTCGGTCGAGGAGGCGGCCCCAAGGCTCCGGCCCCTTTTCCGTCGGAGCCGCAATTTCTCTGGCGGCCTTTTGAAACTGGGCGAGTAGCCGGGAACCGACAGTGCCATCACGCGCCTCGGAAGCCGGGGACCCGTTCCGCAGCAACCGCAGGCGCTTCCCGCGCGCCACGGCCCCGCCCCGACGTAGTCCCGCCCCCGCGGCGTCTCTCGGCGCATGTGCCGTACGGCGCCCGCGAGGCCCCGCCCTCAGCTGTTTTCCTCTGAGGCCGAGGGCACGGCGGGGTGCTGCGCCTCGCCGGACGCTGCGTTGGCGGTCTGGTTGGGTCCTTGGCTGTAGTCGGGTCGCCGGGTGCTAGGTGGCTGGGAAGCACGCGGTCCTGCTCACCGAAATAGATGAGCGCTGTTCAAATCCGCAGTAGGGTGTGATGAGCCCCAGGCACGGCGCCAGGATGAAAACGAAACGTCACACTTGAGCTGCCCCTTCGATAAGCTTCCAGAGCGCAGCGGCGACTTCCAGAGCTGGAGAGGGAGGCCTGGGCCTCCTTCCCCTCCCCCCGAAACAGAGAGCCCCAACAGGAAATCAGCACGCCGGCGACGCAAGCGCAGTCTCCCGCCCCGCTTCCCGAGCATCGGCACTGCAGCCTTTCACGCAAACACTGCAGTGGTCACGGACGAGTTACCGTGATGCTCCCGTTCGATCCTGAGGAAACCCTGGAGTGAATGAATATTTGAAAAAAAAATTTAGCTTTCAATGGGCTAGATCCTTTGAGACTTGAAAATATATTCAAAGTATTAAATTACGACAGCAAAGGATGTTAAAGAAGGAAGGGGTTGAGAAAGGAGTTGATACAAAAGTAATATTATTTTGACATAGCAAGACTCCCAACAGCTTTATCAGAGTAGCGTGGCTTCTGCTGAAAGCAGTCTTCTTCATGTAAAGAATTTTATAAGAGGCAAATATATAGGAATAATTTAAAAGGCTTTCAGAATATTCCCTTTAGATGTTAAATTTTAGAATTGTCTTGACCCGTCTGTACGATGTTTCCAAATACTTTTCAAATACTTCAGAAAACTCTGAGCATCGTGTCTCAGC